AGAAATAAAGCATAATTCATCCATATTCTATGCATCTTAGACATACCTAGATGCATCACATTCATCATTTTAACATATAAGATTTTTGCAGCTTTTCAAGTCAAGTTTCGACTTCAGGATGAAGGATACTCGATTCAAAAGCGCCTTTAAAGAATGATGGTGGTTGCTTAACTCAGCAGTGAGAAGCTACACCTCACCCGACTTGACATCTCAAGACCAATTTCAGATAGGTTCGAGAACCAATTCAGATCAAATCCAATTCGACTCAAACTCACCATGAGCAACACTTTCAAGCCAGATTTCAATTCCACGACGGAAGATATCCGGCTGCCAGAATTTATCAGTAGGTTTCCCAGACTAGCTCAGGCTTAGCTCAAGGCCAGAAGGGCTACCTGCCACAAAGACCTTTGAGTTCGACTACGCTCAGCTCCAAGGCACATTATTTGCAGCATAACTTAAGTCGAGAAGGGCTATCTGCCAAATACCCCCGAGTTCGATTACACTCAGCTTCGAGGGCACATCATTTACAACATAACTCAAGGATATAAGGGTTATCTGTGACCAAAAGTCCTTTGAGTTCGACTACGCTCAGCTCAACGGCACATCATTTCCAGAATAGCTTAAGTCGAGAAGGGCTATCTGCCAAAGACCCCCGAGTTCGATTACACTCAGCTTCGAGGGCACATCATTTGTAGCATACCTGAAGTCGAGAAGGGTTGTCTGCCAACCAAAGACCTTCGAGTTCGACTACGCTCAGCTCCAAGGCACATCATTTGCAGCATACCTGAAGTCGAGAAGGGTTGTCTGCCAACCAAAGACCTTCGAGTTCGACTACGCTCAGCTCCAAGGCATATCATTTGTAGCATAACTTAAGTCGAGAAGGGTTATCTGCCAACCAAAGACCTTCGAGTTCGACTACGCTCAGCTCCAAGGCATATCATTTGCAGCACAACTTAAGTCTAGAAGGGTTGTCTGCCAACAAAAGACCTTTGAGTTCGACTACGCTCAGCTCAACGGCACATCATTTGCAGCATAGCTTAAGTCGAGAAGGGCTATCTGCCAAAGACCCCCGAGTTCGATTACACTCAGCTTCGAGGGCACATCATTTGCAGCATACTTGAAGTCGAGAAGGGTTGTCTGCCAACCAAAGACCTTCGAGTTCGACTACGCTCAGCTCCAAGGCACATCATTTGCAGCATACCTGAAGTCGAGAAGGGTTGTCTGCCAACCAAAGACCTTCGAGTTCGACTACGCTCAGCTCCAAGGCATATCATTTGCAGCATAACTTAAGTCGAGAAGGGTTATCTGCCAACCAAAGACCTTCGAGTTCGACTACGCTCAGCTCCAAGGCATATCATTTGCAGCACAACTTAAGTCTAGAAGGGTTGTCTGCCAACAAAAGACCTTTGAGTTCGACTATGCTCAGCTCAACGGCACATCATTTGCAGCATAGCTTAAGTCGAGAAGGGTTATCTGCCAAAGACCCCTGAGTTCGATTACACTCAGCTTCGAGGGCACATCATTTACAGCATAACTCAAGGATAGAAGGGTTATCTGTGACCAAAAGTCCTTTGAGTTCGACTACGCTCAGCTCAACGGCACATCATTTACAGCATAACTCAAGGCTAGAAGGGTTATCTGTCACCAAAGACCCCCGAGTTCGATTACACTCAGCTTCGAGGGCACATCATTTGCAGCATAACTTAAATCGAGAAGGGTTATCTGCCAACCAAAGACCTTCGAGTTCGACCACGCTCAGCTCCAAGGCATATCATTTGCAGCATAGCTTAAGTCGAGAAGGGCTATCTGCCAAAGACCCCCGAGTTCGATTACACTCAGCTTCGAGGGTACATCATTTACAGCATAACTCAAGGCTAGAAGTGTTATCTGTCACAAAAAGACCTTTGAGTTCGACTACGCTCAACTCCAAGGCACATCATTTACAGCATAGCTCAAGGCAAGAAGGGTTATATGTCAATAAAATTGTCGAGTTCGGTTTCATTCAGCTCGATGACACCCCAGCCACACTATTGTTCGGCTGTAATCGAGGTTTTCAAGTCGAGAAGAATACCTGGGTTAACCGTGCCTTAGTGACAATAAACCGTTTTTTCGGCAGCATAACTTAAGTCGAGAAAAGCTATATGTCATGAAGACCTTTCGAGTTCGATTCATTCAGCTCAAGGCCTATCAATCACATGGTGGAGTCAAGTAACTATTTATAGTCAAATTTTAGCCAAGGTTCTAAACCGAGAGAGAGGACTGAGGTCGACTACAATTGGGCAACGAGAAGCCGCATCCCGATTCAAATTTCGAGCTACGGTTTCAATTCCGTATCATTTCAAGATGGACTCGACTTCGCGACGGAGGAGCCATCCACAACCCAATTCGACAGAGAGTTATTCTTCAACTCCACCGAACGAAATTTGTGTCTTTTTATCTTTGTCCTATTTTTCGTCTTTGAAAATACGTATATAATAATAGTTTTTAAAACATTTTGAAAACTATAATATACAGTTTTTAAAAAACGTTTTAGAAATATAGATAATATAATTTTAAAATCATTTTTGAAATTATATAATATATAATTTTGAAAACATTTTTGAAAATTTATATAATATATAGTTTTGAAAACATTTATATGTTATATGGTTTTTTAAAAAAACATTTTTGAAAATATATATAATATATAACTTTTAAAACATTTTTAAATTGAAAATACGTATATATATTTGTATTTGAAAATTTTATTATGTGCTTTTGAACATTTTTATTATTATTTTATTATTATTTCTTTATTTCTTTGTTTTTTTCAGTCCAGGGTCCAAATCCAAATAGTCCACCGAACGGGCCTGGCCCAGCTCAGATTCCACGCTAGGGTTTCCAATGTTTGTCATCAGCGCCGCAAGGAAGGGAGCGACACAGTCAGTGCCCAGCGCACTTCCCGGCCACCAACGGGACTGAACCATCCCGAGGCGGCCGGCGTGGAACAAGGGATCACAACAGCCCGTAACAAGAACCCCGGAAAATCCGGGATCGACCCCAAGATAGCCGGAAACAGCCCCCATCGGGACTGTATAAATACACAACAGTACCCACGGCGAAGGGGGGAACACAAAAAACCACAGTACATCGAGAAACAACAGACCACAATCGAGTACACAAAGAACCACAACCATCACACTACACAACGGTACCCAAAATCGACAGAGAGACAACAGCAAAAAATACCCACACCACAATACACATCATCGAGAGCCACAACAGCTATCAACAGTACCAAAACAAAAGCCACACACACATAAAACCGAGCATCAACCGAAGAAACCATCGGAAAAGCGAACGGTCGTCGGAGAAGGTAAAAAGTCGAGGCTATTTTCCTAGATCTACACCGATCTATAGGGATCTTGGTGATTTGGGCTACGGTTTTGGTTCTACGGAGACGAGGGGAGCGTTTTGAGGCTATTTAGATTTTTTCCGGCCACCGGAGACGGTGGCCGGAGCGGCGGCGAACGGTGGAGTGCATGGCCGTGATATGGGGCTTGGTTCAGAGAGTTGAGAGGATGGGAAGATGATATTTTGGGGAAGAGGGAAAAAATGAGAGGTTTTAGCCTGATTTTAGGTTATATACACGACCCATCAACCCGTTTCTGGATCCACGCGTCAACCCGGCCCATTCACTTGACCCGCGCATTTTCGCTTTGAAAAGGGTAAAATCTACTTTTGGTCCCCATTGTTTTTAAGGCTCAATTTGAATCCCAAATCTGATTTTAAACTCTCATTTGCTTTCGAATTTGACCTCCTATTTCGGTCTTCTTTCGATTTGGTCCCTTATATATATATATAAATTTACTATTATTCTTTTTATCTCATTTACGTTTATTTAATGTATTTGTTTATTTGTTTATTTTTTTTGTTTCTATTTTATTTATTTTATCATATTATATTATGTTCTTCATTTTATTTATTTTCTTCATTATTGCATCTTTATTTTTATTTTCATTTCTTTTCTTTTATTTATTTTTTTATCTTATTCCATCTTTTTTATTTACTGTTTTACTTATTCCATTTTTCCTTTTATTTTGTTTTCCTTATTTTAGTTACTCTCTTTATCTTATCGTATAATATGTTTCTCGACTTTTTAAGGGTATATTTTTAATCTATCAGAGATAAGCAATTTGAATCAAATTTTTTTAAATTTTAGTTTAAATTTTAATTTTCACGATTAAAGACAACCAATAAATTAATTGGTACCGAGAGGGCGGTTCAAGGGTGCTAATCCTTCCTTGACCGTAATCGACTCCCGAACCCGACACGTTTCTGGTACAACGCAGATCAGGTAAGATGGTGTCCGACCTACCTAATTTCGTTTTAAAACGGTCGGTGGCGACTCCAACCCATTTCATTCAAGTCGTAGCCCAATTCCGGGGCCCAACGGAAAGACGGTTCCGACACATATGTAATGGGGTAAGCGGAGGTAAGATAGTAGGTTGCCCTCAACACCAGGTTGGAAACAGCTTCCGTAGTAAATCTTCGAATTATGAAATGCGCTCTGTGAGACTCGATCTCACAACCCAAAATTAAGAACCTTGTGTTCTACCAACTAAGCTAGATGGTCATTATCCAGCCATGTGATCCGATGTATGAACGTATCTTAAAACAATAAGTAGATAGATATAGAGCGAAAAGAAAAGAAAAATTCAAACGATGAAGCAACTTGCACCGACGGTGGAGAAAAACAGGAAAGCACATGGCCAACGGCTGGTAAAGTCAGGCGGCAGAAAGGACAATTTGCAACTTGCATCATCACTTTCACATGCATTTTGCAGCGCAACCGACGTTACGTACATTGATTGCACCGCCGCCTTCAACTTGCAATCAAACCTCTTATATATATAATTACTATTTACTACTGCTTGCCAACAATTGATCAAAGTTTCCCAGTTTTTGAAGTTGTCAATCATTAATCCTCTTTATCTCTTATCAACAGAGCAACTTCGAGTAGGCCACCCAACGGCAGAAGCAATCAATGGAAAACCAGCACGACACCCATGGTGCCTTATCACCCAACCAATGTGGTTCAAGCCTGGTTCAAGCTATAGATGCACCGCTGCCTCTAGTATGGTCCATTCTCCGTCGCTTCGATAACCCTCAAGCCTACAAGCAGTTCGTCAAGAGCTGCACGTTGAGTGCCGGCGACGGCGGGATCGGGAGCGTACGACAAGTGATGGTCGTTTCGGGGATGCCGGCCGCCACCAGCATGGAGAGGCTAGATCGACTCGACGATGACACGCATGTTATGATGGTTAGCATTATCGGTGGCGACCATAAGCTCCTTAATTACCGTTCCACGACTAGTCTGCATAAGAGTAGGAATGAAGAAGGAAATGGCGGCGGGAAAACGGTGGTGGTAGAGTCGTACGTGGTGGATATCCCGGCGGGGAATAGCAAGGAAGATACACGATCTTTCGCTGATATGATCATTGGGTGCAACCTTAGGTCATTAGCTAGGGTAACTGAAAAATTGTTTGTAAATGGAGAGTTATTAGATTGATATTATGCTATAATAAATAAAATAATGTAGCATCGTGTGCTTCACGAGATATCCAATTATTCAGATTACCTGTTGTGTTGTGGTATCTGATTTTAGTCCGGACACGAATATTTTTTTATGAAAAAGTGAGTGAATAAATAAATGGTTTTTTAAAGAAATGTTTTGGAGTTGACATCGACTCTTTTGGGTTAGGTAGGTCGATTACATAAAAATCATATTTTAAAAGAGATTTTAAGAAAAAAACTATTTAAAATATAATTTGGTTTGCGTATAACTAAAAATCCATTCTTTTAGTAATAAAAAAGGATTTGTTGTTGGTTACGTTTGGGGAATGATTAGCACCCCAGAACGCCCAAAATTGATACATGTTTATTATAAATTGTCTCTGATAATATAAATTTAAGAAATCGAATATAAATTTAATTTACGATTCTATTATTTCATATTCAATCACATAATTTTATTTAAAGAAAATTCTAAGGAAAAATAGAAAATATTACAATATTTTCAATCGAAGAGAAACTAATCCCTAAAATGCTTTTAGGACGAATATTTATCTTTTTGACTGAAATAATAAGAATATGATAATTTCTCCTAAGAACTCAATATTTAAATAATTTGATATAAACAAAATGAATATAATTAAAGTAGGCATATTCTATTTTTTTTTAGGTTTTTATAAGTAAGGTATTTATTTATTTTAAAATATCATAATAGAACATCTAGTTACTTTAAGACAACTATTTCTTAATATTTAAAAATAAATAAATATCATTATTTAATCAAATAATACTTATGAATTTTTCATATATATATATATATATATATATATAACGTGACTAAAATTAAATAAAATAAAGAACAATAATTAAAATGAACAATAATTAAAATACTAAATTAAAAATATTGAAACTTAAAGGGTAATAAAAATAAAATTTCAATTAAACCATTATCAAAATAAAGAAAATTAAAACTATAAGATTAATTTACAAAAATATATAAATTAATAACCCTAATTCAAAATATAATAAAATCTATGTATCAACTGTGTAATTTATCCCTAAATAATATTCGAATTAAATTATAAATTATTAAAATATAAAGGTTTAAATTTAATATTTACCCTAAATATATATAAATACTAGCAGAGACTAAAATATAAATAAAAAAATGTGAAGTCCAAATTAAAAGGCACAAAAACATGATTTTAATGACCAAATTGAAACTATTACGAATCCAAGGGACAGAAGAAAGGGTTTTTCCATAATGAAATTACGCAGAAGCCCTCCACCAAGTGACGTAGTTTTGAGAAGGGTATAAATAGGCCTTAAATGGTCATTTTAAGTTATGCTTCTTCGTTTTTCTCTTTTGTTGCTCTCTCTAAACTCCCTCACCGGAGGGAGAGCCGTCATCAGCCGACCACCGTCGGCCACTATTCCGGCCACCGTCGGTCACTATTCCGGCCACCGTCAGTCACTATTCCGGACACTATTAACCACTGTCAGTCACTATTCATGGTGGACGAAAAATATAAAAATACCCCAAATTAGTCCTCTTTTCCCCCTGAACCCATATCTAAGTCCATTTTGTCCTAAAAGTGGATCAATCGGACTAGATCTAAATGTTTTACCTTCGGCATTTAAAGTCTCCGATGAAGCGTAAAGACTCCATGTAACACCCTTAACTCATATTCGACCCAAATACAAGTCCGAGATGTCACATTGACTTTTCAAACTTTGATTCTTAAAGAAAAATAGAGAAATTTAAAACTTTCATTAAAACAAAATACTTTAATTGACATAAAATAGACCACTTAATAAAAAATCGATCAGAGCATTCATAATTAACCACTTATTACATACCAACACTCTATACACAACAAAATACCTACTTTGTCAATTACTTCTGATCTGATTTCTTAGTAATGTTGTTGTCTGTGCCACTTCTATTCTGAATCTTCTTATTTCTTGGTACCTACGTGTAAATTACTTACACGCTAAGTCATAGACTTAGTGAGGCAATAAATGAATATGCAACAATATCTTCATGAATATGCATTCTTACCATTTCCTTCATGACATTTCAATATGCATGTATCTATTACACAATAACATATATAATCATATCATGCATGTATAAAACTTACCTTCTTATACCACTTTCACTTTACTTTGTATTTCAATTGCCCATGTATATTATTGAGAATAGAGGTATGTGAGTACATTGAGGTTGTGCACTAATATTGTCACCACAACTCGTATCAATTCCCTCATGGGGCACCGAACCTTAGTTCAGTATTCGTCCCGAATGACTGTTATATATGTCCCGTAGGACCACTACATCCCGAAGGACTACGTCCCGAATGACTATTACACACTCGACTCTTGGCATGCCAATTACACTTATAGCTCTCATATCGTATACTATGGGCATTATTCTTATATTTCATATGTTCATGTACTCATGTTATTTCTCTTGTGATCATGTAGCTCATGTCACTTACTTCATGTCATGTTCTCATATCACATATCATATCACATGTGTATTTGAATCTATTCATATATATATATCATTTATCCAATCACATGAACATATATATGCCTTATGAATGTATTACAATAGTTATCATGTATGTATATTCACAACTATTGTATTATGAAAATCAATATAGGGATTAGACTTATCACAAGTCTTATTCCATTATACTATGCATATAGTATGCACTCACCTTAGCTTTGCTTTGATTCGATTTTAATCCTTTGATCGTTCCAGAATAAGCTTACTTTTAGTATCTACATAATCACACATGGATCTATATCAGTATTATAGCTAATATACTCTAATAGTTCACTCTTTAGATTAAGATAAATGCCAATTTCCTCTTTTAATGAAGGTATGCATCGATGCACTACTTGTGCATCGGTGCATAAAATGCTTTCGATGTTTTATTATTAATGGAATGCATCGATGCACTAATTGCATTCGATGCTTTTATTTTAAAAGAGTGCATCGATGCACTACCTGTGCATCGATACACCTTCAAACAATTTCTGGGTTTTAACCTTGATGCATCGATGCACTATGAATATGCATCGATGCACTATGCCCATAATCCTCTTTTTGAACCCGAAAATTCATTCATTTTGGATTAAATTCTTCATGTTTAATCCCCTTTTTCATTCTTAACTCTAGTAGACATCCTTAAACCAATTTATACTCATTTATTTCATCTTAAAGCTCCAAATCCTATCCTTCATATGTAATTCAACAATTACATCAATAATTCAACATGTTTGAATTCCACTTTTAACACTTCGTATATCTTAACTAGATTGATGACAAGTCAAATTTAACTTTCAATTCTAGTTATGAACTATATTCCAAGATTTCATTTAAGAGAACTTCAAATCTTAAATCTCTCCTAACTCCATCATCCTTTGATGTTAAGATAACTTAAGCTTTCCTTAAGCTTAGTTATCATCTAATAATCAAAAATCAATCTTAAATTTAATAAGAAACTCAATAATCAGAAATCTTACCTTTGCTTTGGTTCACACGCACAAGGAAAAAAGATGAAAAAGATAACTCTGGAAGCCTTGGGTGTTTTCTCCCCTTCCACCTACGTGTATCCTTATATATATATATATATATATATACTTATCATTCCTTTAATTACTTTTCCTTGCAATTACTCTATTGTCCTTCCATTCCTTATTCCTTTCAATTCCATCCTACATAATAATTTACATGTAAATCTTTATACTATTCATTCATTTTATTTTAACCACCAAATTCTGAGACTTTACAATTTAGTCACAAACCCGGTATTGAGGATGTTACAACTCTCCCCTTAAGAAAATTCATCCTCGAATTTTCATTATGCAAAGAACTAGAGGTACTTAATCCTCATGTCCTCTTCACGTTCCCATGTCGCTTCCTCTACTTTGTGATTCCTCCACAAGACTTTAACCAATGGAATAGTCTTGTTCCTTAGTTGCTTGACTTCGTGAGCTAATATTTGAACAGGTTCTTCCTCATAAGTTAAATCTGGTCGAACTTCAATTTCTTCAGTAGTCACAATGTGGGATGAATCAGATCGATATTTCCTAAGCATTGAGACATGAAAGACATTGTGTATCTTTTTCATTTCAGGTGGCAAAATTAGCTGATATGCTACTGGTCCTACTCTCTTAGTAATCTCGTAAGGTCCAATGAATCGAGGGCTCAACTTTCCTTTCCGTCCAAACCTCAATATTTTCTTCCACGGAGACACTTTCAAGAACACTTTATCTCCGACTTGAAATTCAATCTCTTTCCTTTTTAAATCAGCATACTATTTCTGTCTATCAGCTGCAGCTTTCAGATTATTCAGAATTACTTGAACTTTTTCTTCCGTATTCTGAAACAACTCAGGACCAATAACTTCTCGATCCTTAAGTTCATACCAGTCCAAGGGCGTACGACATCTTCTTCCGTATAGAGCTTCATAGGGAGCCATTTTGATGCTTGACTGATAACTATTGTTGTACGCAAATTCAGCAAGTGGTAAATACCTTTCCCACGATCCTTTGAATTCAATGACACAAGTTCTTAGCATATCCTCCATAATTTGAATAGTTCGCTCGGATTGACCATCGGTTTGAGGATGAAACGTTGTACTGAAGTTCAACCGAGTTCCCAGTGCTCCATTTAATGAATTCCAAAACCGTGATGTGAATCTAGGATCTCGATCAGAAACTATGGAAATAGGTACACCATGCAAACATATAATCTCTCTAATATACAGCTCAACATATTTATCCATGGAGAAATCAGTTCGTACCGGAATAAAATGGGCTGACTTAGTCAATCTATCTACGATCACCCAGATTGAATCCTTTTTGTTCGGAGTTAAAGGCAACCCCGTCATAAAATCCATCATCCTGACGGAACCTGATGCTCAGCTTTGACTTGTTGACAAGTCAAACACTTTGATACAAATTTCGTGATGTCTTTCTTCA